TTTCAAGTAGAATACGTCCAATCTGATTGGAACGCCGGGTATACTACTCTAACATCTTACACCTACCGTTTATTCTATATATATATACACCTAATATAAATATTCTATAAACATATATTTTTTAGCACACATACCGTTTATTGTAATATATATGAACATAAGATAAACAGTATATAAACATATATTTTTTTCTTTTTGCACACATACCGTCTATTGTTGTTTATATAAATATAAGATAAACGGTATATAACCGTTTATTGTGAATATATATACACATAATATAAACAGTATATAAACTTATATTTCTTTTTTAGCACACAACCGATTATTGTACGTATATATAAACATAAGATAAACAGTATATAAATATTTTTATTTCTGCGATAACCCGATAAACAGTATATAAACATTGACTTACATGTAGAACTCATATAGGTTTGAATTGCAACATTCAATTTTTTTTTTTTTTTTTTTTTTTTTTTTTTTTTTTTTTTTTATAAAATAGTCCTGTACAATTGTACCAAAAGTAAAGAATAACCTAACAACATAAAAATTTACCCATACCACAAATGAAACAATAAGCAAACACATTAATCTAATTTTGTTTCACTCTCTTTGGATTTGAACATGTCTTCTCCACTTTGAACTGGTATTGGTTTGTTATTGCATGGTGGCTGAGCAACTTCATTACTTCATTTTTTCTCTGAAAGATTGGCCGACCACAACATCCCATAGCATACTTCCATCGACACCACATTCAAGTGTTTTGAAGTTATTTATCTCCTGTTTATCTTCTGTATACTTAACTGCTTCCATTATTGTATCTGCAGAATGTTCGGCAAATGCTCTATAAAATTAATCTCTTTCAGAGTTTCTCCGGGCCGACTCAAGACATTTTAACCCTTCTATATCACACACAGACGGATATGTAGATATTGGCATTATGCCTGGAACTGGTGAGGGGACGTTTATTAATTTTTTTAAAACCACACACAAGGGCAACTTTGTGTAATCACACTCCTTCGATTTCAATGAAACAAAAATGTAGGCTGCTATCATCATCCACACTCATAGCTGGATATCCATCTTTCACTTGATACTTCATCTCCATATCATTTGAATACGCGTTTACCTTCAGTTTATCAAAAACAATATCTCGGAGCTGACTGTAATTACATGATGAACTAATCAAAATACCTCCGACATCATAGTTTACGTATTCATTGTTGATCCATACTCCATTATGATGTAAAAACACATTTACATCATTCATATTCCTGAAAAATAAACAGATTCACTTGATGTTAAAAAAATAAAACACAATGAAACAAATAATAAATAATGGAGTATTTATTATAAAAACGAAATCTAAAATTTAAAAAAAAATAAAGGATGATGGAGTATGTATTAAATTAAACAAAATCTGAATTTTTTTTAGAAAAAACCTAAAATTAAAAAAAAAAAAAAAAAAAAAAAAAAAAAAAAAAAAACAAAACGAAAAAAATACGTTTCTTTACCATGAACTTTCAATATCTTCATCTCAAACCAAAATCTGAAATTATAAAAAAAAAAAAGAAAAAAGACCCTATAATTTGGTAATCTATCACCAAATAACAAAGTTAAATAAACATGAATATACCTTCAAACGTCTTTGATTCAATGACTACTTCACGATGTTTTGTCAGGAACCACAACCTCTTTTTTTTCTCCTTTTTTTCATTGCAAGAATTTGGTACCCAAGAATCTGTTGACAACGATTTCTCCTGTTTCTAATTTTGAATTCATGATTTCCTGGATTATAGGAATCACGATCGCCATGATTTCAATTTTTTTCTGTTGCGTGTTTACTCTTTCCGTCAATCTCGCCTTCATGACTTTCAATTTATGGAGAGAGAATAAAGATATATGATGATTTATTACAATCTCGTAATTTTGAAAAAAAAAATCACTAATGAATCCTCTTTTGATTATGTTTCCTACAAATTGTATTTATGTATATATTTATAATGTAGGGGTTACATATGTATTTTTCCCAAATAAGATTATAGTATAGAAAAATGTTAAAATCCAGTTACATGATGGTTCTGTCGAGTTTTTTACTGTTTGATACACTTGTTAATTATGTAGAGTAGATAATTTGTAGTAATAAACACTGACGGAATCAACAGACTGTAGTTATTTCCTATAATATATTTTGGCGCACCTCGATTTTTGTTAACGTGTTAATTTGAAACCAACTCCTTAACGAGAAAATTATGACTAATGATTTTTTTATCAATAGTGAAAAATTATAAATCATTTAAGTTAATTTGATGTACAAAACATGCTTTAACACACACACCAAAAGAAAAATATATAGAATGAAATTTAACATACAAGTTCCTTCTAATTGGTCGTTAACTGAATTGCACCTGTATTATAAAATTTTAATTTGATAAAATATTTTTAGTTTCATTTGGATTTTGAGTCGAGTTTTAAAGCCCATCATATTTTTCAGACCGCCATGGGCCGTAGCAATCCTCCGCCGGCAGCCACATTTGCTTCCGCCCCGCCGCCACCGTTTCACACCATGTTACCCGGCCCCAACGTTACCAACCCTCATTGCTAAACCCCAGTTTCACTCAAATCCTTACCGAACCCTGTCCATCTCGAATGGCCACCGACGCCTACGCGAAATTCCTTAATCCGGAGCTGATCCCTGTCTCGCAGCACCACATGGAACACCAGCCGGAACCCTCCTCCGCCGTAGCGGCGCACGAAGGGCTCTATTTCTGGCAGTTCATGATTGGCTTCTCTGTCGCCGGCATGGTGGAAGTGAACACATGGGATGTTCCCCGTCGGCACCGTTAAGACGCAGATGCAAGCCCTAGGTTCCTGGCCCATTAAGTCCGCGAGCGTCGGCCACGCGCTCGAATCCATTCTTAAACGCGACGACTTTAGAGGCTTCTACCGCAGCATAGGCGCCATGGCTCTCGGCGCCGGCTCCGCGCACGCCGTCTATTTCTCCGTCTACGAGCTCTCGAAGAAGAACATTTCCGGAGGGAACCCCAACAATCCGGCCGCCCACGCGTTGTCTGGGGTTTTCGCCACAGTCGCCAGCGATGCCGTTCTGACGCCCATGGATATGGTGAAGCAGAGGCTACAGCTGGGCAGCAGCCCGTACAGTGGGGTTTGGGACTGTGTTCGGAGGGTGGCTTGGGAAGAGGGGATTAGGGGTTTCTTCGCGTCCTACAGAACTACTGTACTGATGAATGCGCCCTTCACAGCAATTACATTTTGCGAAATATGAGGCGGCCAAAAGAGGGTTGATGGAGATTTCGCTGGAAAATGCTAGTGACGAGAGGTTGGTGGTTCACGCCACGGCTGGTCGCTCGATGTTGTGAAGACTCAGTTGCAGTGCCAAGATAATTTTAGCTCTAACTCACTTTAATCAGACCTTGTGTGAGTTTATTGATGTATAAATTTTTTAGTTTGTTCTCTTGTCTTTCACCATATCTGGTATTCCTGTGGGAAACTAATGAACTTAGAGGAGAATGCTGCTTATTCATGTTGAAACCCTGTAGCGGAAAGAACAGATAGGGAAAAGAATGTGAACTTTTGTTGTTTCAATGTGCATCTTTGTTGGGAAATAAGGTCGGATAAGATGGAATAATAATAACACACCAATGTGAAATCGATAAAAGACACGAAAGTTTGTTAACCCAGTTCGGATTAAATCCTACCTCTGGGGGCGAACCAAGCCAGGAGAATGAACTAGAAAAAGAGGATAAACCGAATGTTACAACTCACACAAGCCCGTATGAATACACTCTCTCTACTCTTTTTCTCTCTATCTCTCTTGTTATGTTTTCTTTTGTTGTGATTTTTACATCATGATTCTAGCTCCATTTATAGAGAAAGAATGCATCAAAATTTCTACAAATGTGTGCTAACATTTTTCTCCCACGGTGTGCTACTCCATTATTTTATTTATCTTTGGTAGTTAGAAGAAAATGGGTTGTTGCCCATTGACTTAACAATCTTCTGGTCAGTCGAGCCATTTTACGCCTGAACTCGGCTCTCGGTGCTTGTTGAACATGATGTTTCATCTGCGTTACCTTCTCTAATTTTTTTTGCATCTTAACGAATTCCTGAGTGTTTTTCTGGTGTTACTTTGAGAAAAGTTTAGTGTTTATTGCTGTCATGATGCAAAATTCTCAAGGATTCTGGCTGGATTGTTGTCATTTATAAGAGTTTCGAGCTAGCGATCCTAATTTCCTTTTCTGAAGCTTGGATATTTGACATTCAAAGGATGCTTGTGGTTGGGCTTAACATTAATCAAGATGGATGAAGTTTGGCAGTAGATATCGATAATAGCTCATCGGTATCACGTTTATCGAAGCGAATATGATAATGCAAATTCCTTTGTATCTGTGATAATGAAAAACAAATTGTGGGTATCAGAGTATCAGAGTATAGCAGTTTAATACTTGACGTGAAGTAGAGGAATCCATGTAAAACTATATGTAATTAAGTCATAATGGTTTTATAAAATCAAAATCATAGCTAATTCTAAAAATTTGTTGTACTTCTAGGATGACATCTGTGATGATAATATATAGGTGACATCATAATATTGGATGTGGTATTATATTTGAACTTTAAATACTCTCTTCAGTTAGAAATTTTATTTGATAACATGCTTGTTAGGAAAAATAGATTGGTCCATTCCATTTGAATGGCTCTGAACATATACTACATAATTTGTTTAATTAAATTTCATATTTTTTTTTATGTAAAATTTTATTTGTTTGGCTTTAGATAACATATGTTCTAAGGTAAAGCAAGCTTAACAAGTAAAAACACTATTTAGGTACAAAAAAACAGTTTGCTCATTTTTCTGGTTTCTAAAATTGTATATGCCTCTGAGTTCCCTTGTTATTTTGATACTTTTAGACGGCCCGAATGGTCTCTCTAGGAATGTTAAGAAACAACTGTAAATGAGAACACACTACGAAACATAGGTTTTGCCAAACAAGATGATAATAATCTTTATCGGTTGGATTGGACCAATCTGATTACACAACTTGATCATATCATCTTTAAAATTCTGAACTTTTGGTGAGGTTCCCTGTGAAGGAGGAAGAGAAACTATTGTCTTTCTATTCCTTTCTTCTTTGCTTTTTTTTTTTTTTTTCATTTTTTAGGTGAAGTAATAGATTTCTTAACTGCCTATTGCTCGGATTTTCACAGGGTCTGTGGATGTGATAGCTTCGTCAGTGGTTCAATGGGTGACGTCGTCAGAACAATAATAAAGAAAGACGGATTCATAGGTCTTCTAAGAGGGTGGATGCCGAGGATGCTCTTTCATGCTCCGGCTGCTGCCATTTGCTGGTCAACTTATGAAGCTGCAAAAATTGCCTTTCAAGAACTCAATGCAAACGTGACGTGAGAAATCAAAACTCTATACAAGTTTTGGAATCAAAACTCCATAAGACAGAGGTAACTCTTTACATACTGGGAGACAATTTACTATCGGAATTATATAAAATAATGTAAGAAATTAGCAGTTACTGAGTTATAATTGGATTGGAGGCGGTGAATTATTTTCTAGTGATTAATTTGATGGGTTTTAGAAGTGAATGTCAAAGTTTGTTTCACCTCAAAATAACAGAGGTGGAATTTGTCCAACTCTTACCATGTTAGATAATAAAAAATGGCATTTCATCGAATAGCTATTGATTCATCGTTTATTAATAAGTTCGGTAATATTCTCTTATATTTTGTCTTAACATTCTAAATTTAACAGACAAATAAAAATCATATAAGAATTTATTTAATTCATAGAAAAAAACATCCAATATAATAATTTCTATATTTCATATATTAAATTAAACAACCTAATAAAATCTATATAAAAATTTATTTGTTTCATTAAAAAAAAATCAATAATCTCTATATAGATTGTAAGCATACAAATTGCTTATTTTGAAAGCAATAATCACTATATATATTCAAACCGGCTTATTTTGAATTATATATATATATATATATATATATATATTTTTAATTATTGAAGTGATTTTTTTTAACATGTGTAGGGCCCAGGGGCAAAATCAGAAAATAAGTTGAGAGGGGTCAAAAGATATGACATAGTGGGTCATAACTGATGCTGAGCTGATAACGTTTTGGTAACCGATTTTCGGTTACTATTACACATGTCGGTTCGTTTCAGTTTATTTTCATCGGTTTTGTTCGGTTTGAATTTTGGTTTTTCGATAAAAAAATACTAGTGCTAACCTAGGTAATAAAAGAGAGTTAAAGTCTTTTATATGGGACAATTAAAATTATAGAAGGATTATAATTAATATACAAAAATGATAGTAAAAAAAAGTGTTCAATTGTTAATTAACGATTGTGAACAAGCTGGTCTGGCGAGTGATGTTTAAAAACGAAAAATCTGGGGGTGCAAAAATAATTTTGAAGGGAACAGATTAAAATTTGTATATTAATAATTAAAAGAAAAATAATATTTGAGGGGGCAATTGCCCCTAGCACATCATTTAAATTCGCCCTGGTAGGGTCTCCGGAATCACTGAAGGAGGGGAGGAGTCATTGAAGGTGAATTAGGAACTTCAAAGAGGAGATGTAGGCTTAGTTTATTAAACTTTAGGCCTCACTTGACATTAATACACCATTATTACTAAAGAGTAGGCTCAATTAATACAATTACACAACTATTAATAATTAAACTCACTAAATATATTAATTGATTTTATTTTCTTCAAATGTTAACTTAAATAATATACATGTTTCATCTTTATTTATTATAGTAGAACCAAGGATATGTCACTTTTGAATAAAATAATATAGATAAAATAAGAAATTCATGTTTACGACGTGGATTACATCCTGAGAATTCACTGCAATCTGGGTTGATGTTTTAGAAAATAATTCATTGATATTCTAGTAATAATATAACTTTGATATTTATTATTGTATTTAATTATATATTACTCAATCATCTATTGGCAATTGAAATAAGTAAGCATGTGTATGACAATATATATATATTTATATATATATATATATATAAATATTTTGTAAACAAGTAAATAAAATTTAAAATAATGTTTCTCATTAATCTTAAAATTTAAGAATAATTTTTAACCAACACTCGTGTAATACACGAGTATTGTACTAGTATGTGATTGAACCGAAAACACCAAGGTGAGTAGGCTAATATAACTATATATTTAAAATGATAGTTAGAATAATGTGAATAGATAAATGATATTGATGTGATAAAAAAATACTCAATAATAATTAGTTATGATTACGGGAAATGTTCCATGAGTACCTAATATATATTAGTATAGAACAATGAAATAAAATAAATAAGATAAAAAATTTGTTTGTTTGATTTTCTTTTCGGTTTGAAAGAGAAATTTTTTTACCAAGTAGATAATAAAAGCGAAAAATTGACATGTGCGCTCAAAGGCTGCGACCGCCGAGAGAAAAATGAATGCAGTAGCAACTTTTTCCCATGAAAACGGCATCTGCGGAAGTGATTCCGACTCAAATTCCGACGGTACGCCGGAGTACTACCAGCCGATTTCTACCGTAAATAACGGCGGCGAGCAGGAATACGAAGACGAAGACGGCGAACTCTCCGATCAGGACCAGATTCACCATTTCCACCGCCTCCCAAACGGCTTATCATCTCTCGATCTGAGCGACGATGAAGATGAAGAAGAGGCTGCCGCGGCGAGCGAGTCGGAGAGGGCGATCGAACGCGCGTTCAGGGAGGACGAGAGGCGGCGCAACGCTCCTCTGACGGCGGAGAACGCCGTGCGAGTGATGGAGGCCATGCGCGGAATCTCGTTCGGCGCCGTCTCACCCGATTGGGCAGCTCAGATTCCGGAGGACCAGTGGACCGAGCGGCTACGGAGGTTGAGGGGGCCATCCGCCACCACTTCTGCACCTGCTGCTTCAAATTAATCATCGGGTTATTGAATTTTATTCCCTTGTTATCTCATCTGCCAACTGTTTGATAAAATGTCTGTGTACAATTGCACCCTTGTTCTTCATTTCTCACTTTATTTAATTATCAATTACAATTAAACAGTTGTGTTGTTCATTGATTAAACCTATTTTGTGAGCTCAAGATATTTGATTAGAAAAAGATTTGGATTTCGTTGTTTCTTTAGCCGTGTTATTTAACTGTGAAGCTGCTAATCTCACAAACTGAATCAGCACAGTTCGCATAAGAAGGAAATCTAGTGAAAGCTTCAAACCGGCTAGGACTAAAAACCTTCAAGGATATGATTAGGCACCGATATTCTCAATGTTAGCACCTTTGTCCATTCTCTTGATGAGGCCAGCTATGACCTAAAACATCAAACAAAATATATCTCAATATCTGAGAAAATCGAACGTGCACTGTTGATGGTGGCTGGATCTGCATGAGGCTCCGCATCGACGTTTGAAATAACAGGTATTCTGGATGTTTTTATTACTGTTGATGCAAAAGCAGCTTCTAGTCTCGACACAGCTGGTTCCATAAAACCCGTGTGGAATGCACCCGTTACAGCTAACCGAACCTAAGCAAAGTTTTTTCTCATTAAAATAAAATCCCAAAGCACAAAAGCTGCAGAAAAGCAAGTACACCAAGATAATGATGAAAAAGGGAGGAAAAGGGTTTACTGCCATTCGAGCCCTGAACGAGTTTGCCTTTGCTTCAACTGCTTCGATTCCTTTGAGGCCTCCAAACACAGCATAGTTTCCCTAGGAGAAAAATGGTGCAGGTGGGTTAAAAAAGTTTGGACTGGCTAAATACTTGTAAGGATTATGGGTGTATTATAGAAAGGTGTATTATAGAAAGGTGTGCACCTTCAGCTTCAAGTTGGGGTATTCGTAACGAAAATACAGTCTTTGGAGTGCATTCGTGATTTTAAAAGATGTGTGGGTTTTTTGTAATTCAACTAGCTTCATCTACAAACTTAACAACATTCTTGTTCTTATGTAGGATCCAAGAAAACAAAGAAAGACGACTGTAAGCATAAAAAATGCACTTACAGTGCAACGGAAATTCGCAACATAAAAATGAACAGCATCACAAAGCTGTTGCACCTTATTAGCAGAGTCGAGCCCTATGATACTAACCATGGCACTTTTAGTAGCATCAGCAGTATCCTGGTAATAGCAACATAAAAATCCAATTTGAAGGGGTCATATATACATAGGTCAACTAAATGTCGTTATAGGCGATACCTGCATTGCTCCAAAACGAATGGTTAGCATACCCCAAAATGTCGTTGGCTCTCACGTGCAGAAGGCACTTTCTGAGCCTCCACCCCCATTCCAACAGCTTGTGCACCCTACAAAAACGAAGTGCAGATACAAATTTTCACCACGAATCAATCAGAATCATAAGATGCCCTTTCAATCCTTGTCTGCCAATAGAAAATTTCATTTACGAATGATTGCATATATAAGACCAATACAGTACAGGGGATGACAGTGGAGTTCGAATTCATGCTAACAATCCAAGTCCTTAAACCCGACAGATCCAGGTCAGTTAACTGTCTTGCGTTTTGGAGATTTAAAATTTCAGATTTTTTTTAAGAATTTTTTTTTTTATCTTGGAGACTTTTAGAGATTTAAAATATTTAAAATTTGCACCAAGGCTTTTAAAAGTCTTGAGATGTCTAAATTAAATACACCGGGGTTTCTGAAGTACTTTTTAAAGACTCTTTAGAAAATTGTTGGAATATCACTTGTGAGTTATTCTACATTGATTCTATAGGGAAAATGAGTCTAGTATATATGCCTAGTGGGCTACTGCTTCCATCACCAATTGGTTTTGAGATGAAACCTCACTAAGGTGCATGTAGGCTCACCCTATTATGGTCACCTGCTGGACCACACCCTCTTCCCCCGGTTCTAATATGGTATCAGAGCGGACTTGTCATAGGATATGCAATGACTCTCTCTACCCGACATGCTATGGGCTTGGGCTTATCTCTCTACCGGACTGCTATGTGGGCTTGGGCTTACGAAGGACTCACAAGTGAAGGGCGTGTTGGAATATCACTTATTAGTTGTCCCACATTGATTCTATAGTGAAAATGAGTCTAGTATATATATCACTTGTGAGTTGTCCCACGTTGATTCTATAGGAAAAATGAGTCTAGTGACCAATTAGTTTTGGAATGAATCTCACTAAGGTGCATCTAAGTTCACCCTCTTATGGTGCGCTTCACCTGGTGGGACCGCACCCTCTCTCCCGGTTTTAATAGAAATCCCAATTGAATGCACTCCGATTCTTCAAGAACACGAGTTCTTATACATAAATTGGAGGTTGTACATAGAATATGGCTTTCTAAAATCGTGAGATAAAGGTTGTAACATGAATTATCAGATTGAGACCACCAGACATGTAAATAATTAGATATGTTCTCTCAAAGCTTGTATGTTTAATTATACCATACCATTCTAATACTCAAATGTATCAGCACGAGCTCACACAATGATGTTGATACCTCACACTCAGATGAATACAAATAATCAAAACTCACTGAAGCCATTTTATTTTTCTCTTTCTTGCATATATTTTTAAAGGCCAAGTGATTTATAAATATATCACATGACACATACAATGAAAAAAAAAATAGAAATATTTTAAAAATTATAATAGTGAAACAATACTTCACAAAACAATTATGATGTAGGGAAGCGTGAACGAATGGGAATAATAAAACGAGATACTTTCTCGATAAAACACAAAACTCAAATATCAGAAATCTTCTTCAAATTCAACAATCTGACTACGGTAGAGATGAGATAAATATATAGAGTCCTACTTATCTTGCCTAACAAGCTAGGCTAGATATTTATTTACTTACCAACTATAATAAAATAACTAAGGTAATAAAATAAAAGAGAATAATACTAATAGGAAATAAATAATCTAAATACGAAGCCTATCATATTTATTTAGAAACGAAATCGCGGTCTCGTCTCCATCAAATTATGAAAAAAAAAATATTACTACTTTCCTGCTTTTTCTTTTCTCTTTTGGTTCCTTAATATATTTACTCACTGCTAACTCAGTCCTGAAGTATCTGAGCATATATATGGAAAACTAATAGTTTTAGCAAAATATTATCTTCTAAATGCATATACAATTTGTGTAATTTGGCATCATTCTAAATCTATCTATCAGCTAAATTTGAAAAATCATTTTATTTATATCAGCTAGTTTTCGAACATGGCCCACGAATTACATACTACCTCTCGACCACCTTAGCATTTACATTTTTCAGCTATCAGACAATTTATCGACTCTCGACTATATATAAACATTGATATTTTTTCAGCTATCAACCAACTTATCATCATTGTGTCAAAACCATTGAATTTCAAATAAGAAAGCATATAGTTAAGTCCACATCCTACAAGAGCATTTTGTTTATTATTCTCATATAAACAAAAAATTTAAAATGCCCAAATATTTGAAAAGGTAAAACAATTGTCTTTCAGTGGTCCATCCATGCCTTCTTGCTCTCCATTCTCCCTCCTATAAATACACACCAAACCTTTATTCATATCTTCATCCCCATGTGAGTATTTTTCTTTTAGAAATGGAGAAAAGGTAAAAAAAATAATCATAAAAAAAAAATAAGAGTGAAGATGATGAAAGTTCTTTAGTATAGAAGGATCCGTAAAGCTCAGGAGGGATAGCGCCATAGATAATTAATTCACGTAAAAATCGTCATCGATGGCGCTATCCATCCTGAGTTTCATGGCTCCTTCTTACTTACTTTGCAGTCGAAGCCTAATATATATATATCTTCTTCAGATCTGTAAATTTATACTATTCATAAAAGTATATTTTTCATTAACTGTTTTTGTGATGTCAATGTTATAGTAATATTTATACTTACCTTCAGTACTCTAGAAGAAAATTAAGAGAGATAGTTTAAATTTTATGTATTTTGTGTGAAAATGCTGCTAAATTGTGACTGATTCCACCTCAGTCACTATATATTTGTTAATATTTCTCTTTCATGCAATCTTGGAGCTGTTAATGTTGATTTTGTTCCATTATTTAATTTATTTCTCTAGTAAGGATTAGGCTTAATTTGTATTTTCTATTTTTGTAATTTATTTATTTCTCTTAGTTGGCATTTATTTCCAGTTAAAAAAAAAAAAAAATACACTATATTTTTTGGTTTTACAAGTCACACTAACTCCACATTTTTTTTCCTTTTTCTTTTCTTTATTCTTTAGTGTGTGCATGTGTGCCATGAACAGTATTCATAATTAATGGAGCAATTAATTTAGTTTATGTTAGTGAAAGCTTTACCTAATACCAAATTTTCAATTAAAATGAAAAAAGGTGAACAATATTTGCAATAATCATAATAATTAAAACAAAGAAAAAAAAAAACTCCAATCAGCACTAATATATAATGTTCTAAATTTTGATGATGGCATATTGTTGGCCACACTGTATGCGACATTTCTATCAAAAGCTCATGTAATCAAGGCTGTGTCTATGTTTGATAGACAAATAAGCTAGTTTATAGTTTATTTGATTAGCTTATAAACCCCATGTATTTAAATAATCCTTGTTTGGTAGGACGAGTTTTTTTTAAAAAACTCGAGCTTATTTTATAAGCTTCTTTAAGTAGTTTTTCAAATAAGCTAGTTGATTTTTTTTATTCCAACTAGCTTCTCAGCTAATTTTACCAAACACTTTTATCATATAAGCTAGTTTTTCAGCTATAAGTCATAAACTATAAGCTCCAAAATTACTGATAAGCTATAAACTAGCTTATCAGTTAGTTTTACCAAACATAGTCTATGTTTGGTAGGCAAATAAACTAGTTCATATATAGCTTATTTGGTTAGGTTATAAGCTCCCTGTATTTAAATAAGGCTCGTTTGGTATGACGAGTTTTTTTAAAAAGCTCGAGCTTATTTGATAAACTTATTTAGATAGTTTTTCAAATAAGCTAGTTGAATTTTTTTATTCCAACTAGCTCATTAGCTAATTTTACCAAACATTGTTATCATATAAACTAGCTTTTCAGCTATGAGTCATACGCTATAAGCTATAAGTTCGAAATTTATTGATAAACTATAAGCTTATCAGGTAATTTTACTAAAGATAGCCTAATTATAATCTAAAATTTTATTTCTAAAGTCATCATATTTGTGCGTGCATAACAGGCTGAAATGCAATATATTTCTTATATATTAGTACTTGCTATGCAATAAAATAACACTGATATTATATATAATAATAATTGCAATTGAAACCTTTTTCTTTCATGCGGTTGACAAACATTATGATGGGTTATGCTGATTTTATGTCTCTGAGCCTCTTCTGAATTTGATGAGGCCCCTGCAGGAAAATTTTATTTTCCCAATGTCCTTAATTTTACGTGCAATAAATGACATAAAAATAAACAAATAAATCATCCAATATAATTCATCTATTTGATTTGTTGTTTCATTTCATATATTTTTTCGGTAATATTAATACATGGAGTATCAGGTATAATTTGAAGGACAACGTTATTTCAACACGGTACTAATTAAGTGGGATATATATATATATGCATGTTCATTATTTTATATCGTATGTTTCGAACATTAACTGAACACCAATAATGTAAGGCCGTGTTTGGTTCATTAGAAAAATAATTTTATCTTATTTGTAGAGATATATTTTATAGGAGGGGAAGGAAAGAAAAAAAAAAATGCGAATTTGTTGGATCAGAAAAAAAAAATGTGTTTGATTTTAACCTGAAATTTTGAATACAAAAATAGGCAAATGCTATCATTCCGATACGGAACTATTCCGTCGAGATTTGTGTACTGTTAGATCATTATGTAACCGTCGTGGGTAGTTGATCAACGGTTATAAACTCCGACGGAATAGTTCCGTAACGGGATTGTAGAATCTTCCACAATAATAACATAAACAAAATTATAACGTTTTGTGTTTTACATATTTATAAAAAAATTATATATGATAAGTCTACATATCTAACAATTAGGCAGCTTCATACAAAAGAATCATAATAATCATGTAGGTTTCATGTCAATAAACAATGGTCATCCTTTAATTATAAGAAAATATCTTGATACTATAGTTATCACATGTAACAATTTTCATCAAGGAATCATAATAAAAGTGACATTAATTAGTTTGGTTACTTATAAGTATTTTTTTAAAAAAAAAATATAGTCCCAAAATTTGTTCCAAAATTATATTACAATATCAGTGGCGAAACCAGGATCCCGTTTCGGGGAGGGCTCAATTTGTCTTTAAATAAATTTTCACGAC